ATTTTTTTTTTATCGCCTTTTTAGTTGCTGCTTATCAAAATTTACAAATGCATTAAGTATAGTAATTTTTTTTTTTGTTTTACAATTGAAAAAAACGTGACTTTCAAGTATTACAGTTATTCATATGTACATATCATATGTATATACATATGTAAGTACTGGTGATTGTGTTTGGGAATTTAATATTGATGTTAAAATTTTATCGTTTTAAAATAGTTGTACAGATAAAGCAATTTTTTTTTTGATAAACTTGTCATGATAGAATTGAAAAATGTACGTTTGAACCTGCTTTTATAGGATGTTTTCGTCAATGAATAAATAACTAGAATTTTTAGAACTTGTTTGAGATGTAGGTTTGTGTCTATGAAACGATTTTCAAATAACCAAAAATTATCTATTATTATAATAAATAAAATTAACCTGTAAGTGAAAGCTTATCATAATAATAATCGTTTACATGAACAATTTGTTTTTATATACTGGTTTCCATTATTATGTTGTATTGGTATGACCTTATTAACTTGTCTTCTTCAACTACATAGTGAATTTGAATTGAAATTGTAAATAAATAAGTAATGCATAATGTATAACAGTAAACTAGTAAAACAAGATATTAACCCTTAGATTTTGATGTTATTTATATTGTTCGTTACTAATAAAATTGTATGACGAACGAAACAACGAAATACTGATTCCTAATTTATCATCAAATATAAATAAATGCTGAAAAAATTTCCGGAAATTCTTATTAATTATAATTCATGTATTGTGTATACACTTGTTATGTACTACTATAGTACAAATTATTGTGTTCTATACTAAATATAACAGCAAGGCGACTAAACTTTTAAAACAATTTTAAATTTTATTAAAATATATATACATAAGTAGGTTCATATATGTATGTACTAAAAACAATAATAGTAAAAAAAAATATTAAAAATGAAATCATTTAATAAATGGTTGATTAGTGAGGCACTTGCATTTTCATGTGAACTTGCTTATTTAATATGAGAATTCTAAATAAAAATTTAAATATATGAAAAGTGAAAATATGTCACACTACTTACACTTAAACAAAACACTTTTTATAATTTTATTACAATGTCATGTTAATAAAAATGTGGCTAACAAGTGCCATTTTATAGCACATATGTATAACAGCACGTGTTATTTATATTTTATTCAATTTTATTTTAAATATTTAAAATTATCTAGAATGTTTTTTGGCAATCGAATGAATTAAATTTTAAATTTTTTTTGGGCAGAAGTTGAGTTAGAAATTTTTTTACCATAATAACAGTTAAAAGCTTACACCTTTCATAATTAAATTATTTTAATTATGAAAAAACTTGATTTTGAAGTCAACATACAAATCTTAATTCTAAATTTTCTAACTTGTAAATCAAAATGGTAAATAATTAATTTGAACGAATATGTTGTTGTATAATAATTGATTGGGTCTAATTATTTATGTATTTCCGAGTCTATTGTGAGAATAAAAATTGTTATATAATCAAAAATCATATTAATTTGCATTATGATACCAAATATAACAGAAAAATGTAATATAACAGAAATACAACTTTCTTTTTTTTGCTGACGCAGATTTTTACTTGTTTGGTCTCTGACCTCTGTCAAAAGTATTATACAATATTCTTATATAACATATTTTTTAAATGAATAGTTATGGATATCTTAAACTATTGATGAATACAGCAAGCAAGTAACATTTATGTTAATTTAAGAATCATTTAAGTATGTATTATATTATAAAAATTAAGTATGTATGTATTCTTATTATATTATAAAAAATTTTAAAAATTTAAGGAATTGTATGCAATATATTAGATTTATAAATTACAATTATAATATTACAATTTTTTCACCACTTAATTGGCTGTTATACTAATTGATATAATACATTAATTGACAGAAAAATAATTAAATTGTAAATAATAAATAATAAATATGATAAATTTACTTCCAATTTAGAGGTGAAGGTTTAGAAAATTTAATGTTCATAAATACAAAATTGTATATATCAGTTGAAAATAAAATGACTTTGCTAAATTCACGAAAATATATAATATTAATTAATTGGCAATACATTTTATATATTATAGAAATAGAAAAATTTATTATACTAGTATAACACTTGTATAACAATTAAAAATTTCATAAGTGAGCTATCAATCATTATTTTGATTGGTTATAAAAATTAAAAAATACAACTTTTATTTGTTAATGTAAAGAAACCTAATTTGTAAGTGAAACACTGTTATAGAAATCTGTTATACAGTAGTGAAAACTAGCACACACACATGCATTTGTTTTTATAAATTTGAATGGAAATGTGTACGTATGGATGTATGCAGGTTTATTTACATTATTCTCATTTCTCACCACAGAATCAGGTGATTTTTGTGGTGAATGGGGTATCTTTTGCAATTAATGAATAATTTTACATTTTAATAAACTTATTTTAGAATTCAATGTACATAATTGTATAATGTCTTATATATTTATTCACATAATTAATAGATGCAATAGAAATTTTAGCTATGCATGTACCTATACACTAAATAATTTCCATTATTATTTTATTAAATTATTTTATTATTAATGTTATCATATTTTTTTTTATTTAATAAAAAGTGAAACTGAAAAATTATTCAATTAAAGAAATTCAAGAATTTTCTCATTCTTCATAATATCGTATGTTTTCATTTTAATAGGCATTATAAGTCAATTTATTAGTCTTATTATTCTTTAATATTAAATTTCTTATTACATTAAAATTATTATAAAACATTATGGTTTTGATATAGCTACCAACTTATAGCTGCCATAGAATATAAAATAGTGAAATTATATTTGATTTCGGTTTTTATTTTTTGTCTGTTTTGTGCGCTTGCCTTTTTCAAATCATCCGATGTTAACAAAAAAAAAAAAATTCATCATTGGATTTTTTATTTCGTTGTTAAAGTACTACAAGTAGAGACGGTATATTCGCTTTGAAAAGAAAATATTTTCAATAGAATAAAAGAGGGATGATACAACATGGCGTGACGATTTTACAAGGAATAAAAAAATCTATAGAATTTTATGAATTAATGATTTTGAATGAATGAATGTAAAGTAGAAAAAAAAACGAAAGGAGGTTAAAATTAATAAAAAAAAAAGAGAGAATTGAAAATTGAATAATAGAGAAAAAAAAGTCTTGAATTCAAAAATTATTAATTTTAGTACAAAAATATAAATGTATGTAGAAATGTGTTACACTCTATGTTTCGACAATATACGCCTTGTATGTATGCCTATTATATAAGTATTTATTGAGTTTAATACCAAAATTAAATAATAAATATGAAATTATGTGAGCCAAACAATTTTTGTATGGCGCATTTATCAAATATAATTTGACGTAATTTTATGTGTAGATGTATTTGACGTATGGTGGTGGCGCGGTGAGATCTCCTTTTTGTTTTTTTTATTATTATTTTATTATTATTTTGGTATTATACCATTATATTTTTATTATACTATTTTAGAAATATATAGAAGAAAAATCATACGATATTCTAATTTTAGTACTTATTTTGTGTATTAATTTTGTAAATAGGAATTTTTTGATTTTTTTTTTTTAGCTTGTTCTATGGTAGTTGAAAGAAAGTTGGTACATAATCTATAGTAAATTTATTATAATTATTTATTTATTAGTAACAAAGTATTTTATGTATGTTCTATGGTTTGGTTCCTTGCCTACTTTTTTTTCTATATGGCTTACATGTAAGGCTATATTTTCACTCTCTCTTTCTCTATGAATACCAGCGTTTATACGACAATTTTTAGCTTCAATTGTTGACATAGGCTTCATTCCCCATTGTCAGAAAGCTTTGAAAGCGAGAGTAATGAATATGTCAAACATTAATGCAAAAGTCGTTGTGTAAACAAGCATTTAATTTGTAATATACATTTGACATTTTGTATACTTAATATAAACATAATTTCTTTCTTTAAATAAATTTTATGTACATACATACAAATGTAATTTTATTTCAATGTATGTTTGTGTATATAAAAATAGTTATTCAAAAAATGTAAAATTTAATTCAAAATAAATAAAAATTTTTTTTTGTTTGAATTTGTTTTCACTGCGTTGTAAAATTTTTTTAGTAGTTGGGATATGGGGTGATTGTACAAAAAAAACTAAAATAAGAAAAAAATCTCAATTAAAAATAAATAAGAATTTATTTTATAAAATATAAAATATCTATACTTTTAGTTTAGTACTTAAACATTATTCAGTTGAATAAAATAGTCAGTCGTCTGGAGTGAAAACAAATTTTTTTTTTTCCTATAATTATTTAATTTAATTCTAGTTTTGGAAATTTAATTTAAAAAATATGACTATTTTTGATGGGTTAGTAAATTTTACAATTAATTTTAAAATTAATTGTAATTTTGAGAAATTTTTGGAAATATTTTCGAATTATTTTCTTTATAATTATTGAATGCGTAATGCATAAGTGTTAGATATCATGATTACAACAAAAGTGACTACACAGTAGTTACACTTATTCTTGAGAAATTTGGTCAATAAATATAATTAAAATTTTAAAAGATTGTGTGTTACAAATTGTTCTCACGGTGATTGCAATAATATTGTAATTACTAAACGGGAAGTTCAGCAAGTAGCCCATTAGTTGAAACGCATATTCATATGCTTGTATATGGACTCAATTTTACGATAATATTCCAACGTGAATGACTTTACAAATCTGGTTAATAACTATTACACTTATGACTTTAATTAAATTTTTAAAATTAATATTATAAATAATTTAAAATTATTGCCCTCATATATTTTACCTACAAACTTATAAATATTTATGAAGGCAAACCAAAGTAAAATCATTAAAATTAATTATACTTAATTTATTTGTAATAAATATTTATTATTATTAATTATTATAATTTTTTTTATGTATTTACAGTAACTGCTTAAGACGTATTGCACGTCATGATGAAAAACAATTTTCAAAAGACAGTTTAGTTAATGTCATGGAAAAATTTGTTAAAACTGTTAATGCAATGGATGAAACAATTTTAGTACCATGCAGGCTCATGGATAGACAGGTAATTATTATAAAATATTTTTATTTATTTATATATTATTTGTAATTTATTAATTACATATATAGCTGAGTATATTCATGCATACACGATGATAAACTTTTATAATTGCAAATTATTAATTACATTGTTTGTTTTTTTTTCGAACTTGTTTAAATTGTGAATAAGTTGTTCTGAAAATCTAGTTATGGAAAATTTAATTAAAACCTATTATTTATACTGTAATTATTATGAGATATTTTTCATGTCTATTTTGAATTTGAAATAGTAGATAGTGACGTGAATTCTGTGTTACGTTAATTCTAATTCTATAATAAAACTATGAAAGTTTTAAAAAAGAATTTCGAGAAAATTTTCGTACTAGTTAAGTACATACAAAGAAGGTATTTTAGATACAAAGAGCACGTTTTTTTTGCGACTGTTTTTAGCGGGATTCTGTTGTCTTATCCCCTTGGTGATATCTTCAGCTTTGTACTTGTAACAGGGATATTATAGACGAGATCGTCAGGAGACAACAATAAGTCGAGAAAAATCTATCAGAATTAATAATATTTATAATTAAATTTAACAACAAAACGAATAAGTGTGGACGACTATGGGAGTACTTTTCCACTCATAAAAATTTCATTTTATTTTAAATGCGACACGCGTCTCAAAGAACAAAAATCGCACTCTCTTTATTTATTCATATACTTTATTTTCTTTATTTTGTTTTTGGAATTAATTTTAAAATTTTAAAATAAAAACTTACTCATTCTTCTAGTTCTAATTTTAATTCAACTACAAATCTTTTATCAACTTAATATTGTTTTGTAAAAGAGTTCATTCAATGCAATTCTGTTTCTTAAAAAAAAATCAAAATATTTTTAATGTAAAAACCAGTTTGTATACAAAAAGAAAAATAAAGAAAATTTTAAATTTACATGAATAAAATACGTTCTGACAATAAAGCTATATTTAGACAATTTTTTTTTTTCTTAATTTTTAATAATTAAGAGTAATGATTTGATGACTCCGTTCAGCTGTGTCTTATCAGATAGGTACTATAAAATGTCAATAATTTATAAACGTACGTCATTTTTTACACTTGAATATTTTTTTTTTTATTTATAGATTTTTATTTTTAAAACACTTGAAAAAGACGTTTTTGAACTCGATTTAGGTTTATTTTTGAAATAATTTTCCGTGTTGAAATCAAATACCGTAAAAAAATATTTTTTTGCTTTTTTTTTTGAAAAAAATATTTTTTTGCTTTTTTTTTTGAAAAAAATATTTTTTTGCTTTTTTTTTTGAAAAAAATATCGATTATAAAATATATCCTGATATGCAATAGTTTTGTGTTATAAGATCCTTTGACCTCATGACTTACGCGTTATTGGCTCATACGTTCCATAGTCCTTACTATGGCGTAAGAAATTCGATCCAATAAAACCGGAACAGCAACGTTCCCCACAACAAGTTCATGTATGAAATTTATATCAGAACAACGAAGCAAGATCAACTTTCATTTAAACAAGCCAACTTTCATTTAAAGGGGGGGGGGGCGGTCAATTTAAACGAATTCGATCAATTCGTACGATGAAGAGAAAACGAAAGAAAAATTTCTGCATGGCCTTAATGCGATTTATAACAACATTACGAAAAGGAGACTAGACATGACATGCTTACTCTTAAAACGGGACTCACGAAAGCGACGTTAAGATGCTTCGCCAAAAGTAGATCATTAAATTTCCTAACCCTCCTTATGGCGCAACCATAATTACAAATTAATAGGCACAAGGATAATTAATGCTGCCTTACCATTTTTCCGAATATGAAAATAATTTAACGAAAATAGAATTGCATAGTAAGGTCCCGAAATTTGCCTATTATAAACCTGTAATCAAAATTCACCTCCAAAGAATTACCTATAGAATATTTGAAACCTTTATATTTAATATTTATATGCAGCTTTCAAAACTTCAAGGTTCTAAATTTATGAATTGTAATATCGAAAAGGTCCTCATTTTTAATCGAATAATTTAGGTCTAATTTAGACCTGAATAATTTAGTTGAAAAAAATTCAACAAACATGTTGAAAATTTAATTCTTTATAATAAGGAATGGGCAAGATCATTTATTTTTTATTTTGTACGCAAACTTTCAATATTTTAATTTTTGAATAAATTCTTGCAAATGAGACCTCCATTAAACCGATTTAAACTAGATTAATATTTAAAAAAAAAATTAAATATTTATGTAACATACAGGATAAGAATTAAAAACACCAAACATGTTTAAATTCTTTAATATTCTTGCTTTCCACACCACATTATTCTTTATTATAAAGAATATTTATAAGGATTATCTCTTATTAAGTAACTAGATCTCCTTGAACAGGGTCATAATTTATGAATTTATTGATTTTGCTTCTTTTTTTTTTATTGACTTTGAAAAATATTTCCGGTTATTCGTGATTGTTATATATATTTCAAAAAAGAAGGTTTAAAAATGAAGAATTTTGTATTTAGGATTTTTTTTTTTTTTTAGTTTTAAAAACCTGCTAAAAATTCTGTTCTCATTCCAGAAATAAAATATTAATTTTTAAATTAAAGAACATTTGTTTTAAAATATGATTGTTATAAAGGACAAAGGTTATTTTAAAAAGAACCTTGGAAAAAATTAATAAATTTATTACATTCTAAATTTATCACCTCCTCTATTTAAAGTGATTGAAAGTGAAATCTTGTTCATGTGTGTATGTTATATATGAAGTAATATTTCTTGTAATATTTTATTTTTTTGAATTAAATATTATATTAAAATATTTATATTTATATTTGTCTTTTTTGTTTTTTTTTAATATAGGTCGGTGATTCAACTGATATAATTCAAGTACCACCAAAAACATCAGCATCACATCAAATAACAAATAATATTAATGGTGTTAAAAAACATCGTCATCAAACTGTACATGAATTTTTAAATTCAGCTGATTTATTTAATATATATTCAATGTTAAATTCATTAAAAAATGATTTATTATGGACACGTAATGATGATGATGATTGTGATATTATAAATAATACAAATGTAAATACAATAATGTCACAAATATCAATTTGTTCAACAACATCATCATTAAATGAACCGATACAATTACAACACCAACAAGATGAACAACAAACAAAAATCACATCATCAAGCACAATGATTAATTTACAACAACAAAATGGTAATAGTAATATTGTTGGTGTTAATAGTAATAATAATAATGGTGCAACACAACAAAATACAAATTCAACAACAACAACTAAAGGACATAATCGTCGACCATCAACAGCTAGTATGACATCAGCAAATTCAGTAAGTAATCTCAGTGATTCAGAATCAGAAATATCAAATGAAAATGATTCTGGTATGGAATCTGAAGGTAATTGTAATGGCAGTCAAAGTGGTGGTAGTACAACTGGTAGCAGTTGCGGTCAACAAAATTTAGATAGAGCTACAGAATTGGCTAGACAATGTAGACAACATTTAGCTGGTTTACATAGATGTTTAGAACAAATGACTGAAGCTGCTAATTATCTAACTGCTAGATATCAAAGTGATGTTGGTCCTGTTTAAATAAAACAAAAAAAAAAAATAATTATTTAATTATTATCAATAAAATTTATATATATATATATATAAATATATATTAATTAATTCTATAATATACGATATAGGTATATGTATATGTAATTGTAACAAAAGAAAAAATAAATAAAAACAGATTATTATATATACAAAAAAAAAATTACTAAAGAAAAATATAAAAAAAAAATATTAAACAAACACATTACAAAAGAAAAAAATATAAAAAATTAAACAAAATAAATTTATTTAAAGAAAAGAAAAAATTATAAGTGTATATATTGAAAAATATATGTGTAAATTATATTTAAATAAAATATTCCATAATGTTTGCTAAAATTTAGTTAAAAAATTAAATCAAAAAAAAAAAATATAAAAAATCTTTAAAAAAAATTAAACAAACACACAATACAAAATTCAAAAATTTATATAAAAAAAAAATTAAAGAAAAATTTAAAAAAAAAAATATTAAATTTAGAAATAAAGGGAAAAAAATGAGGGATGCAGGTGATTATTTATGTTACGATTTTGTTTTATTTTTATGTTTTTTTTTCGCTAACTAATTCCAAAGATTGATAAGAAAGGAAAAGAAGAAAAAAGAATTAGAAAAAAAGAAAAATAATTTTGAGAATATGGGCGAAATTTACGGTGAAAAAGAGAGAAAGAGAATTTTGTTAAAATTTAAAATAATATTAATAGAATTTAGAATAACTCATAATAAAATTTTTTAATTAATATTTAATTTCTAAAAAATCATAGCTTTTTCTTTACAATAATTTTGTATTTGTACTTTTTTTTATAATTTAATTCTCCTATAATTGCTTAAATGGTAACCCTTAAGTATTTTATAAAATTGAATGTAATTATAATGTAAATTATTAAATGTAATTTAATTTAAAAATTATTTTATGTAATTATATTATTATCAAAATTAAATTCAGGAGTAATTATTATTTTAAATATGCTAAATAAATACCTAAAGTTAAATAATATGCGTTAACTTAACTGAAGTTTTTGAATACTATTTAACTTTTAGTTTACAAATTTTAGTTCTAATGTAGAACTTTCAGCACATCGAAAGTTCTAAATGAACTTTAAACTTTTTTGGAAGAAGCGAAAACCTCTAAATACATAAGTTAGTTCAGTACATTTGCCAAAAAGAAATTACAATCGAATATTGTACATTGTTAAATTATAATTTCTAAACTAAATCGAATATTATTCTTCTGATTTTTATTGAGTTTTAATATTTAAATCAATTTTTTAAAATTAATTTTAAAAGTGGAATAATTCATAAAATACTTCTTAATCTACGTTATGTTATTAAAGAATGAATAATTGGCAATAAATACTTAAGGGTTTAAAAATTTATTATTAAATTTGAAATTTGAATAAAATGTAATTATAATAAAAAAATTTCTTAAACTTTGTAAAAAAAAACATTTATATTTTTTTTCTATTCTCTCTTATTTCGCTCATTTTTGTGAAGAAAAAAATAATAATTTTCCAATAATAATAATAGATATTTAATATTATAATTAATAATTTCTTTCTATTTTGAAAAAGGTTCAAAAAAATTAAAAATTAAATCTTGATATTTTTATGTTGTTTTTAAAATTTAAAAAAAGAGTTTTGGATGAAATAAAAAATATTTTTTTTCCTTATTTAGATATAGTTGTTTTTTTTTTTTTTTTTTTTAATATTATTAAATTAAGTAAACAAATCAGTAAAATAAAATTACAAGAAGAAAAACAAATTTTTTAATTTTTTTAAGCTATATACAAGTATAAAAATATAATTTGTAAACAAAAAAAAAATTAAAAAATAAAATAATAAATTCTGCTTAATTCCCGTTTAGAAAAACAAAAGATATTTTAAAAAAAAAAAAATTGCAAAATAAGTAAAAAAATTTTTCACTTATATAAAGTTGTTATTAAATTAAATTTAAAGAAAACAAAATGAAATTATAATTTTTTATGTCTTATTTTTCTATATAAAAATAAATCTATAATTATATAATTATAAATATTTAAAATGAACAAAAATAAACAAATAATTTTTAATTTATATAAAAACACCAGTGAAAACAACTACATTTTTAGAAAACTAGTTAATTTTTAAAAAACGTCATTTGAATTTTTTTAGTTTTCTTTGTTTTTTTTTTTTAGATTGTTATTATTGCAAATTTTTCAACTAGTTTTATATTTACTAAACTAAATTTTTGAAAAAAAAAAGCAAATAAATCAAAATAAAACAAAAATTTAATTTAATAAATTATCAAAAAATCAAAATGCATGTCTCACCATTAAATTTTATATTCCAATTCTTTAAATAAATAAATAAAAAAATATATAACAAATTTATATTAAAAAAATAATTAATTACAAAAATTCACAATTATCACTTTTAGATTTCTTTATTTTGTTTTGCTTATTATTTAAGCTTTATTAAATAAAATCATAACTTAAAATTTTTCTTATGAAACTTTGATTACAAAATAATAAAAAAAAATATATACAAGTAATATTTGAAAAAAAAAAAAAAAACAAAAAAGAATCAAATCAAAATTATAATAATAAAAAAAAAAATATTATTAAAAATATTGTGTGTATGTAGCTTTGAATTGACGTCAATTTTTAGCTTGTATCAAGCTGTTATTTGACAAAATATTAGTTATGATTTTATTTTTCAAACTACAAAAACAATAAAGAAATATTGGTTAATTTAGTAACAAAAGAAAATAGAAAAAATAAAAAATAATATTTTTCGAAAAAAAATTTGGAATTGGAAAATTCCCATAGATTGGAAAAATAAACAAAATAATTTATTGATTAAATCACTCTAGGTATTTAAAAAATTAAATGAAAAAAAAAAAAAAACAAAAATAAAACAAAAATTTTCAAATGACTTTTTATTTAAAAAAAAAAAATATATGCGAAATAATTATTATTGTCGCAATAGAATTTTGGACAATAAAATGACAAATTATGTCATCTTATTTTTTCCCAAAAAAAAAAAAAATTGTTAAATTTTATGTGATAAAATTACGTGATCAACATTTTTATATCACTTAGAAATATGTATATCAAATTTAAACTAATAAAATAAATAATTTCAGTTAAAATTACTGCAAAATTAATTTAAAAAAAAATAATCCTTAATAAAATGTCGCCTTTAAATTTAAAATTTGAAATAATATTTTATTATAAATTCTTATTTTTTCAAGTGATTCGAAATTTGAGAAATTTTAATTAAAATAAAATATAATTTATTATTTTATTGTCCATATTCTCTTACATCGAACAAAATTAAATTTATTTCAAATATAAAATAATTTTTAAGGACACAAAATTTTAATCTTTTTAAGTCCTATAATTTTTTTTTTTTCTTTTTTTGATTTTTAATTTATTTTATATATTTTATAAGAAAAATATAAAATATATTATTTTAATTGTTTACAATTTTGTTTTGTTGTTTTTTTTATGTTATAAGAAAGAAAGCAAAAAAAGAATCAGAAACAAAAAAGCGAAGGAAACACAACCAAAAAAAAAAATTGTAAATATATTAAACATAAAATCAAAAAAGAAAAAAAAAGATGAAAAAAACTTATTAAATTAAATTATAATATTAAAAATTCGTAGAAAATTAAATTCAAAAAGAAAAGGAAAGGCAAAAATCAACTGTAAAAAATAAATTAATACTAAAAAAAAAATAAAATGGGAACCTAACACTACACTTTCAAAAAAAAAAAAAAATAAGAAAAAATACTAAAAAAAAAACTTTTTTATTTTAAAATAAAGATTTTTATTATTTTATATATCTATATTATATTTATATACAAATAATATGTTAATATCAAAATTGTAGCTTAAAAATAAATAAAAAAAAAAAATTCCATAATAAATTTTCAATAATTTAATTTGAAACACAAAAAACAACAATTAAAAATAGTTTTATTTAAATATTTTATTTTTATTTGTAGTTTCCATTTTAATATTTCAATTGAACCTTAAATCCATTTATAATCTTACAGTATAAAATTCTTAAACAGAAATTTTTTAATGTCTTCAATTTCTTCGGGCTCATTAAATATACATATGTGAGGATTGAGGGTGTTAAATTTTCAAACGTGACTAAGAAATACGTGTAATTAATTTAAATAAATCTGAATTTCTAATTAGATACCATTCTAACAATTAATTTTAATAGTTACTATTGAGGGAGCGTTTTGAAAATTCAATTATAACTTAGATCTTAATATAAATAAACCATTTTCGATAAATACAATAAATCAAAATCTTTAAATGGTAGCATATTTGAGAAACTTTTTGTACACGTTCGATAAATTTGAAAGAAGCAAGTTCGAAAATATTAGCATGCTTAATGTTCTAAATTCTAAAGCATTTTTAAGAATTTTAAATGCTTTATTTGATATTTAGCCTAACAAAAATATAAGGATTTCTATTATTAAATACGACTAAAATAAAAATATGAAAGTATTTTATTTTTATAATAATTTTAATTATTACAAGTTTTTGTTTGAATTATATAACATATACCAAATTATGTAATATAAATTAAATAATACAAAGTACAATTAAATTGACATAAATAAAAAAAAAATCAGTTCAGATCACAAGTTTAGTAAAATAAGTATAGTAAACCTATTAATTATTGAATAATTTCATACATAATTTAATTTAGCTGTAAGGTATAATTATTTTAAAAATTTCTTAACTTAATTCAATATTTCATTTGACTTTCATTAAATTAAATTTTGTTTGATTTATGAATAATTATCAACCTTCTATGTGTATGTAACACATATGTACATAATATCAAGTATATGTTCTAATATTATTTTTTATATTTTCCACTAGTATGGACTTTACTTTCAGTTATTAATATATTAGCCTACTTTTCTTATATATGTACGTATTTAAAATATAATTGTTAATTGACTACAATTAAGGAAAGCTTTTCAAGAAAATGGTCATTATAATAATATTTTTTTGTTCAATAAAACAAAAAATCAAGTTGAAGGATATGTTACGATTTTCTAAACATCATGTTATATTGGAATATATTGATAAATATTATTACAAAATTAAATATAAGATTATTTAATAAAAAAAATATTTAATATAACAGTGTATGTTAGTTTCAGGTTAATATATTATGAATATTCATATTTAATTATTATGACTCTGTTATAACCTTAGTTCTATTTTGAAGAAAAATTTATAAAATTTTCATTTTAAAAAATTGTTTATTAAGAATATATTTATTTGTAATATAATAATTCGTTTAATAATCGTATAAGTCTTATGAAAAAATATTACAATTTCTATTTCAATTTATGTTCTACAGTTTAATACCCCTGTAGAATAATAATTACTTATGGAAACAATTTAATTATTTGATCCCTTCTCTTAACGTTTATAAGTTGAGATAAAACTAAATCTAGTATATTAAAATCTATTTTATTCATCAATATCGATCTATTAATTAAAGTGTATATTAAATACTGTTAGTATAACATTTATTTTGCTTTATTAAATGAAAAATTTTTGTAACCAATAATTATAATTATAGATTAAAATAAAATATATACTCATCTTCATTCACGGTAATGGTAAAATTCATGCTTTATATAAAATTTGTGTCGATT